GCCAAGTAGATGTATAAGTCCTCCTCCGCTACTTCCGGCTTGGATAGTAAGGGAGGTGATGTGAGATACTTCTTCAGGTCTTGGAAGGCTCTTTCGCACTCTTCATCCCATTTGTCTCATTGTGCCCTCTTGATGGCCTTGAAAAAGGGCTTGCATCGATCGGTGGACCGCGAGAGAAAGCGGTTGAAGACAGCTGCTCGTCTAGTCAAGCTTTGGATCACCTTCAAGGAAGTTGGGGACTTCATCTCTAGGATCACTCGAATTTGTTTGGGATGTGCTTCAATTCCTCGTTGGGTTACTAAGTACCCTAGGAATCGACCTGAAGATACTCCAAACGTACATTTGGTTGGGTTAAGCTTCATCTTATATTTTCTGAAGATGTTGAAAGTTTTCGCTAGGTTGCAGAAGTGGCCTGACCGCTGCTTGCCCTTTACCATGATGTTGTCGACATAAACCTCTATGGTTACCCCAATTTACTTCTTGAACATCATGTTTACTAACTTTAGTAAGTGGATCCCGCGTTCTTGAGGCCAAAGGGCATGACCTTGTAGCAGTAAGTGCCTCGCTCGATCACGAATGCGATTTTCTCCTTGTTGGGCTCATACATAGCTATTTGGTTATAGTAGAAGTATGCGTCCAAGAAGCTGAGCAGCTGATTTCCAGAAGTTAAATCTACCAATAAATCAATCCGGGGAAGCGGATAAGGATCTTTTAGGCATGCTTTTTTGAGGTTGGTGTAGTCTACGAAAACCCTCCATTTGCCTTTCTTTTTCTTCACGACTAGCATGACGTTGGTAAGCCATGCTGAGTGTGCTACATCTTCTATGAATTCGGCCTCCAGTAGCTTGTCAATTTCTGCCTCGATGATCACTACTCACTCGGGTGTGAAATGTCTTCTCCTTTGGATCACCGGTTTGGCAACGAGGTCAACGTGCAGCTTGTGGCAAGCTACCTTAGGATTAATGTCGGGCATGTCGGAAGGTGACCATGCAAAGACGTCTCGATTTTCCCTAAGGAAAGCAGTGAGTTCTTCCTTCTCGGCTGGGCTTAGATGTGAGCCGATTCTAGCCGTCTTTGCCGGCTGCTGGGGATTAAGAATGATATCCTCGGCGTCCTCTTCGGGTGTCCATCCTATCTCATCTACTTGGGCATCATCTTTTTTATCCGCTTGCTGTAATTGCTATTTGGTAACCCTTTCGTCCTTTTAGACTTTGGTAGCCTCTACGGGGGTAAATATCTTCTTCTTTGACTCCTTTAACACTTGCACAGTGCATTATCAAGATACAGCCTAGTCAGACTTAATCTCTCTGACTCCTCCTCCCAGGATATGGAATCAGATTTTTTGATACTTGACGGAAGTGACGGCATCCAACTTGATCAACCAAGGTCTCCCAAGAATCCCATTGTAGGGAGATAGGTCGCTTACGATCGTGAACGTCTACTTTGAGATAACTGGCGATGTTTTTACGTCGAGTATGATGTTACCGATGGCAGTTGAGATGTGCCCGTTGAATCCAGTAAGTACATCTGCTCAGTGTATAATTATGCTTTCCAAGCCCATTATCTGAATGATTGAGAATTGAAGTAGGTTGACTGCACTTCTATTGTCAACCATCATTTTATCAACTATAACATGGGTTAGTTGGACAGATACTACTAGTGCGTCGTCTTGTGAGAAATCTGCATCCTGCTCAATAAAGCCAATAATTGGTCCAAGTTGGGTGTCAACCACATAGACCTGTGAAACTAGTAGAGCCTGCTGGATCTTCCTCTTTTTAGAGTTGATGGTGGCCCCCAAGTGCTCGGATTCGGCTCAGATGCCATTGATTTGAATCGTCTTGGTTAGTGGCTTATTGTCATCGTCTGCATTCCTTCTAGGCTACGCAACTGGCTTGTCCAAGTATCTGTCGACCTTGCCTTCTTTCACGAGTTTTTCTAGGTAGTTTTTCCAAGTGTAGCAATCATCAATTGTGGTGGAATGCGCAGTATTTGGTGTGATCCAACTTAGAAGTATCTCCCTTCGATTGTTTCGGCAGCTTGAACCATGGCTCATTCTTGATGTCGCGAAGGATTTGGTGGATCGAAATTGAGAACTTAGAGTAGTTCGTGATCTCAAGCCTTCTTTGGTCCTAGGTCGATCTTTACGTTTAGCCTCCTACCTGCTTTTGTTGGACTGCTTCCCATCCTCATTCCTCTGAGCCACTGCTGACTCTTTTTAAGGCTACTCGGGTGCCTTGTCTGCTCGTCGAGCCTCGTCCTAAAGTGCATGCTTATTTGCCAAAGCAAAATAGTTTGCTAAAATCAGATCTTCTTTCATGATCATTTCTCCGAACAGTGGGTGGTCTGCTGGGAGTCATTTTTGAAATACTACACTTGCTATTGAGTCGTCACATCCGACGATCTTTGCCTTCTCTGCTGTGAACCTCTTCACGTAATCGTGGAGCGACTCCTTTGGGTTTTTCTTCATGTTGAACAAGTGATAGAACTTTTTCTTGATCGAGCGATATGATGAGTATTCTTTGGTAAAAACCAAGGAAAAATCATCAAAACTTTAGATGGATCGTGGCGGAAAGGTATGAAACCAATCTTGCGCCTCGCCTTGTAAAGTGGTGGCAAATATTTTGCACATAAGGGCATCGTTGTTCATATAAAATACCATCGTACTTCGGTAGTGCTTCAAGTGCCTCTCCGAATCTCCATCTCCTTTGAAAGATGTAAAGTGTGGCATGCTAAACTTGCGTGAAGGCTCTACCTACTCGATCTCGTCCGTGAAGGGTGACCTGCTCATGTTGGTCATATCCTACCATAGTGCTTCATCGGCCACTTCGTTGCGTTGGAAATCATGAAACTGTTTGTTGAGGAGCTTTTCTACCTCTTTTTGAATTTTCCTTTCTTGGGGGTAGCGAAGCCCTCGGCTGCCCCCGAGCTTAACCTATTGGTCTAAGATGCTCTTCTCCATGCTCGGCTCGTCTATGCTGCAGCTGCAGTGCATGAGGTAGATTCCTAGTAGGCAAGGGATTTCTTTGTAGTCTGCTATTGAACTTGAGCTGGATTGAGTGACTGCTTCTCTCTGTTCGTCGTGCTGCATACTCTGATATGATGTGGAGAATGCTCTTTACGGGGCCTAGTCGCGAATAAACGTTTTGCCTAAAAGGTTGCTCATGTTGATTATAGGAGCGTGGCCTCAACCATGAGTGTATATCGTCCATGGGCCTAGTCGAGATTGCACGCTCCTTCGCGTGCTAAGACGGGAGTATATGTTATCTCAGGGGCCCAATCAGGAGTGTATGCTGGCCGAATGCTCGGTTCGTGGTTGGTTGAGTGGTTGCTTGCCAGGACGCTGCTGGAAAGCTTCCTCGTCTGCCCTTGTCCTACTTTGGGACACCTCATTTGGGGTGCATTGCAAGAGCTGATTCACCAAGGTCATCTGTTGTGCAATGGTGCTCGTCAACTTTATGACTTATTAGGACAAGTGTTGTTCGCCATTCGAGTTGGAATAGCTTGGAAGGAATGTGCCTCCTTGAGTGATAGAAGGATGGTAGACTCCGGGCACGAGATTTGAGTTGGGAAATGTCAAATCCACGGAAAAATGTGGTGAAAATGCCCCCAGGAGAATGCCCCTAGCTCAATGGTAAGTCTGGATGGTTGAGATAGTCTTAGGCCGACTTGGGCTGCTTGGGAAGTCACATGAGCAGGCTGGGTTGCAGGAACAGGCTGGGCTACGAGAGTAGGCAGTTCGGCGTGTGGCGCACGCAAGTACGAGGTTTGGGCTTAGCTTAGCAACGCGTTGGGCTCGTGTTGGGCTTGGAGTGACATGGCTTGGGTCGTGGCTGTGGTGCTGTGGGCCTTGGATGGCACGACTTGGGCTTGGGCCCATGCAAGTTTTGATGGCACGGCTTGAGCCGTGGTGGTTGCCATGGTGGAGCCTCGTAGTGGTGGTGCCACTCCGCTTTTTGTCACATTTAGCCTCGTGGATCACCGCGGTCCCATCTCTTGAATATCGGAATTTTCACTTGTTGAATTTTCTAAATTTCTAGCCATTGTAATTCTCTTTTACGTTTTATCAAAGAATTTTTGCAAATAAAAAATTCTAAAAATAAGAACTTACGAAAAATCTACAAATGAACAAGAAAATAGAAAACCTTGGATGCAAGAGTCTTCTACGAGTGTGGGACTCAACTCTCAATGAAAACACAAATTTGTGAATGCAAATTTCTTCCTCCTTGATTTTGGACAAAATTGCACCTACAAAACAAATAACACCTTAGGTTAAGGCCAAGAACCTCACGCGCCCACGATGAATTCGCCGGGGGGGGGGGAGTTTGGCCAAAGAACCTCCGATGCCAAAGTTAGAATTTTGAGAATTTAGCAAGAAAATTGGAATTGGGTTTTGGAGAGAATTAGAGGGCTTTATAGGGGTGTGGCCAGCCTCCTTGGGTGAGAGAGGACCGGCCAATTGGCTCTCTTTGTGGACTAGGTTCTTGATTTGTGTTTAATTGGGCATAATTGAATAATTAACTAATTAATTAGCCAATTAATAGAATAATTGCCTAATTGGTTAGTTAATTAGTATAATAAAAAGGGAAAGATTTTGGAGTTACCTTGTGGAAAGGATTTGATGAGGATTGATGAAATATGTTTTGAATTGTTACCTATTTAGGGTACTTTTGACTTGGTTAAGGGATGATTGTCTGCTGCTTGCGCGTAGGAATCCTAATGTGCCTCAAGGGTATTCTTGTCCTTTTCATCCAAAGATCCATGTGTCACATTATGATTATTTTTTGCTCCACAAGGTGCTTTCTAGCTTTTTGTTTTGTACTCATCACTCTTTGTATGCGTGACACTGTCACTTCTTAAGTATGTGCTGCTTACTTGCTGCTTAATAGAATTTGCAGACTAATAGTGCACAGAGAGAGAGAGAGAGAGAGAGCAAAAAAGCCATATCATATGTAACAATGGAATTTTCAATGATCCATTAATACAAAGTAGAACAAATGATCAACCAAACAGATAATATGACTTCACTTTACTTGACTGATTTAATAAAGAATTTCAACATTACATAAAAAATCAAAGAATAAACAGAAATTGAATTGACTCTAAATACTAACAACAACATGAACTGCGAAGAATTGAAATCGAATATCAACCTACGACTACTGTAATTCTTACAAAACAAATGATTCTGACACTATCCGACCGAGAATTTATCTGCAACAAAAGAACGAATGAATTGAATGCTAATGACAGATTTCCCCTACCTACAAAGAATTATGTATCCCTTTTTCTCTATGCAACAATGGAATCAAAAGTGACTATTGTGTACTAAGAAGAAACTAAAATATGCGGCTATATTTAACTTGGTTTCGAAAATGATGACGAGCTGCCTGCTACATCAACTGTTGTCCATGCTGAGACTGTGTAAAGAGGTCGATCCATCCAACTTAGAGTAAGTGCCCCTGCTGCTCCGTCTTGCTCTTGCTTCTTCACGGCGTAACTCTCATTGGCATACATCTTTAACAGAAACTGGCTCTGAAGCATTTCCCTCTCCGTTATCCCTGCGCATCGAAACCCTCCTTGCTCCATCCACTTTCTCCACTTCTCAAAGCTCTCGTGCCTCTCCAACCTATCACTTCCTTCACAAGCAACGATGTTCCTAATCTCTCGCGCAAACATCTCCTCTACTTTGATCCTGGCCTGGCTCCCCAAGGGAAGGCTAGAACCAATCGAGTCAAATATAGCAGAATAGTACTTCAATGAGTTGGAAACTCTTGTCTCCAGCCTAGCCTCATTGTGCTCAGCCTCTTGCTCTGCCATAAGAACTATTGTTGGGTTTGTACTTCGAATGAGTCCTAAGAAATCCCTCAGCGCTCCTCCTGTCATGTCATAAAGTGTTTTGTGCAGTTGGAAAACACAATTCACAGCCACACTCTCATGCTCCTTGACATGAAGCATCCAAACCCTCACATCCTCCAACCTATCCACAACCGGGTGAAACTCGAAAGGCAGATTCAGTGCCCCAGCAAATCCAGCAAGCCTATCTCTCGTCTCATTGAGCTCTTGCTTCGACTCCCCTATCCCTGTGATCCTAACATGGCTCGGAGGATTGGTCCTCAACGCCAAACTCTGGAACAAACTAGGCCACTGCAGCCCTTGCTTGATGTCGAAATCTATGATGTGAACCCTGTCCTTCCCTTCAAAAGCTCTCAGCAGTATCTCATTTGAAGTGAAATGAACAAACTTTGGAATTGGGCTAAACTGGTTTAGAAGCCTTACCGCAATCCCATAGTCCTCGTCCCTTCGATCAAACTCTCGAGGAGCGTTGATCTGAAACACATGAGGCCAAAGCCTAGTGACTCTCAGAGATAATGCCTCAGTGTAATAAGCAGAAAGCCGTCTTATAGCACTTCCTTTCGGCGAAGCAAGCTCCCCCAACTTAGTTATAAAATGGTTGATCGCTGCAATGTTCTTCAACCCAATTGCCTCCACACAAGCTGTAAGCAAGCTAACAAGCTCAAACCCTATATGCTCTGCTTCACTCTCATCATCATCATCATCATCCTCTTCTGCCACAACCCATGCTCCTCCATGTGGGACATAAGGATTCCTAGTCCCGTTGCCCGCTTCGTGTTCCGAGGCACTCTCATTTACACTCAATGCCAAGCTCTGGCTCTCTGATGAAGTACTCGACGCGGCTGACTCTTCCCACACCAGTCCACGGCTAGCCTCCCCACCTCCATCCTTCTTACCTAAGTCAGTTATCTCAGTCACAATTGAGTCCAACCAAGGACTGTTTGACAATGGTAGAGGCTGCGAAATCGCCTCCCCCGGAACATAACAAACCCTCTCGTCATCCCCTGAACATGTCAGAGAAAACGGAAGCTGAGTCGTCGGCGGAGGGAGTTGGAAACCAGGCTGAAACCAAAAATTCCCACCACCCAATTGGCCTAAACTCAAACCACCGCCGCCTTCATCGCCACCGCCATTATCCCCACAACCCCTTTTCCTCTTTGCCCTGTTTCTGCAAGACTCATCATCATCCACCGGCTCTGCGAACCTCTTCCCTCTCTTCTTCTCCCCCGAAAACTGATCACGATTCTCCTTCCCCGCCTCCACAAACTCCGCCGTTGCCGACACAGGACCGGTTGTAGCCAGAGGAGGCAGCCGAATGCTCTGCTTCAGGGAACAACTCCCCACCTTCGAATCGATCGATTTCTCAACTGAAAGCCCCACAGGCCTAATGGGTTGCGACCTTGAAGTGTCCTTGCGGGGAAAACTGCATGGTAAGTCCAATCTCTGCGTGCTCATCGATGGTAGCTGGAAACTGCAAGCTTGTAACTGGGCTGCTGCTTCACTCCTCAATCTATGCCTTGGTGACAACAATGTGGAACTAGAGCAACCAGCCAACATATTCTATGATCTTCCTAATTTTTTTTTTTCAATATCGTTTTTGTAAATCTTTGGTTAACTTCTGTGCAGCTAAAGATCCACCCACCCAATGTTTTTTGTTTCAATTTCTTTCTTGATCTCCCTAAGCTATCTCTTCTTCTTTTCGGGTTTTCGAAAAATGTATGAACGTTGGAATGACTGTGTGAGATTAAAAGAGAAAATCTAGAGAGATAGACTATGTGAGTGAGTGAGTGAGTGAGTGTGTGTGTGAAAAAATCAACAAATAGGAATCCGATGAGTGAGTAAATCAATCAAATGGTGTTTGTGTACAAGTGTTGTTTTTCCTATATCTATTTTGTTTATGCAACAAAGAACAGATTATGCTAAAAAAAATTCCCAAACCCAAATAAAAGAATCAAAGAATTTTAATAAATTCCTACAAGAAGAACAAGATCATCGGATTCCGAAACGTTCAGAGGAAACTCATTGGGAAGAAGAAAAGGTGTGATTTTGCATCACCATGGAGAAAAAAACAGAGTGGCGGATGATCAAACTCTGAGAAACTTTCAGGCCCCGACCAGCATTTGAATCCTCCATGGAGATCACCACCATGGCTGAAGCAGAAGCAGAACCCAAAAACCCTTTAAACTTGAATGCATGAAAAAGATGAAGATACAAGCAACTCTTTCTCTCTCTCTCTCTCTCTCTCTCTCTCTAGACAATCTCCATGACTGTCTTGATCATGGAATTTTGTATTCAATTTAGTAAATTGTGTGAAAAAATGGAGGGCAGGGAGGAGTGAAAAGGGTGTTGGGAAAAGACTTGAGGGGGAGTTGGGATTTGTGGGCCGTGGATTGAGATCAGACTGCAGAGTGATGGGGTATATGACCGTTGGGGGTTGTCGGTGAAATATAACCGTTGGGGGGAGGGGGTTTGGTGTACGGAAATAGGGTTTAGTCCTTCTGTTTTTTGGAGGCAGATTGTCCGCTTTTACATGTCCTTCTCATCTCCTCTTATTTGTATGATCACGTCATCTCTTCCTACTTTTATAGTCACAGTTAAGATAGGTCAACATGTATTATTATTTCTATAAAAAATTAATATAAAATATTAACGTGGCTTAACCGTGATTACACAATGTAGAAAGGGATGGAAAAAGCATGGTAATAGGAGGGCAGACAACCTGCATCTTTTTTATTTTTTCTTTTTGGTAGGGGTGAGTGGAGTCTGCTAATATACACGTGGGACGCACGTGCCTGTGCTTGCCTGCACTACACTCGACCGTTTGGGTAGAGTCATCATTGGGGCTTTTTGGATTTTGCTTAATTTCCACTTAACTTAATTACGTATGCTTCAACTTCCTTAACTTCTTTCATGGGCCCTCTGACCAGGCAGATTTTTGACACGTGGTGATCAAAGCTGAATTTGAAGGTAATTTATTATTCATCGTTACAACCTTGTTTTATGAAAATCTGTGAATTAAGATGAGTATGGAGGATGGAGGAGGCTTGGTGTGAAGAGATCTGAAGGTTTGAAGGGTTTTTACGGAGAAAAATAAGGAGATCATAAGATTAGATAATGACACATGACACTATATGAATGGTCGATAATCTTACTAAAAATCGGATCGGGTATTACGAATGGAAAATGACACGTGACACTATATGAATGGTCGAGAATCTTAGCAAAAATCTTCGACGATAATGACATGTGGAGGATAAGACAAAGAAACCATTAAAAATTAAAATATATATATTTGTGAATAATAATCGTCATTGCCCTTACCCTTCCTGCTTCCAAACTGGTGGACTTAAACAAATGCAATTATTGTTTAAAGTGAAAAAAAAGGACAATTTTATTGCTCCGCCGTTGTCTTCTACCAACTTATGAAGATGCTCTTACATAAAAGGAGTAATGTTCCAAAACCTAATATGGTGGGATGGGGGAGAGAGATAAGGTACAAGCCTATGAGGGGCAGTTTGGTTTGGCTTTTACCATGCCACATGATTGATATTGAAAACCTAATATCCCCAAATGCTACAAATTGGATGAAATCAACCGAATACGTCATGATTTCTGCTAACTCTCTTGATTTCAGACGAAAAAGGTGAAACTGCAAAAAGACTGTAAAAGTAGTAGAGATGCTGTAAAACGTATATCGTTGATAACACCAAAAACGAATCACCAAAACGAAGTTGCCGCGAAGGAGGGATGATGAAATGGAAACAAATGATAATATTCCTCCACACCCAAAAGTACTGTCTCTTAGCACCATTTCTTTACCGTTTACCCCTTTCACTTTCTACTTTCTGCTTTTTAGAGTATTCGGATGCAGAGTTAAAAATAAAAACAAAACCAAATAAAAAGAGCAGTTCTTCGAATTCCACGCCCGTGTTTCACACGGTTTGTCCTGGGTTCGATTCTTGGCGCTAGTGAATCATACGATAGCCAGGAGGAGGTTGAAATACATCTGTGAATCTTCTCAGCCCTTTGAAGGATGGACTGCTGTAGTGAAACCCCCAGCTAGTCCTCTTTTAAGAGGAAAAAAAAGAGCTAAGGGGAGAAACTTGGATGACACAAGTATAACACCCCTATGGCGTCTCATACTGTAAAAGTTGCTCTCCTCACAAAGCCTTAACCGTATAAAGCTCAATAGGTCGGCCTCTACACCCAAAGGTTCCAACCGGATCTTGCATATAAGCATTCCTTCTCCTCGTCAAATTGTGATTTTACATGTGCATAAAAACTCTTCTTTTCAAAATTTTCAAACAAAAATTTTAAAATAATTTTTATGATTCTCCGAAGTATCCAATACTCCCAACATTTTAACCGTTTGATCTTTGATCCTAACACACAAAAGACAAAGACTCAATGGTTAAAAAACTTGGGATACTCAGACGCAACATAAATTTTTTGTATATTTTGATTAGTTATTGACATCTTGATTTGCAAGTGCCAAAAATGTACATGCTACGTTCACGGAGCCAACTAGTGTTTGATCCGCGACCTAATGCCAATGTTGAGTGATGGGTGGTCGGAAATCGTGTCTATAAGCGGTAGCCGTTTCACATCTAAAAGCCACAAGATGAACACACACAAGGAAAAATCATGCAAAATAGCGGTAGTAATAAGAAAACGACATCAGAACACATCGTTGAAAATTCTGAACGCATAGGATTGAAGTTCAATCTAATGTAGTACCACAGATATAGAAAACATTCCCCGAAACTAGTTAACTATAGTGGTACTGATACAACAACAACAAAGCCTCTTCCCACTAAGTGGGGTCGGCTATATGAATCCTAGAACGCCATTGCGCTCGGTTTTGTGTCATGTCCTCCGTTAGATCCAAGTACTCTAAGTCTTTTCTTAGAGTCTCTTCCAAAGTTTTCCTAGGTCTTCCTCTACCCCTTCGGCCCTGGACCTCTGTCCCGTAGTCACATCTTCGAACCGGAGCGTCAGTCGACCTTCTTTGCACATGCCCAAATCACCGGAGCCGATTTTCTCTCATCTTTCCTACAATTTCGGCTACTCCTACTTTACCTCGGATATCCTCATTCCCAATCTTATCCTTTCTCGTGTGCCCACACATCCCACGAAGCATCCTCATCTCCGCTACACTCATTTTGTGTACGTGTTGATGCTTCACCACCCAACATTTTGTGCCATACAACATCGCTGGCCTTATTGTCGTCCTATAAAATTTTCCCTTGAGCTTCAGTGGCCTACGACGGTCACACAACACGCCGGATGCACTCTTTTCCATCCAACTCGTATTCTATGGTTGAGATCTCCATCTAATTCTCCGTTCTTCTTGCAAGATAGATCCTAGGTAGCGAAAACGGTCGCTTTTTGTGATCTTCGCTAGATTGCTCCGGTCATTAGTGTGGATAAGTATATAAATGGATAGAGATAGGAAAGCAAACACAAGATGTACGTGGTTCACCCAGATTGGCTACGTCCACGGAATAGAAGAGTTCTCATTAATTGTGAAGGGTTTACACAAGTACATAGGTTCAAGCTCTCCTTTAGTGAGTACAAGTGAATGATTTAGTACAAATGACATTAGGAAATATTGTGGGAGAATGATCTCGTAATCACGAAACTTCTAAGTATCGGAAGTGTGGTGTCGTCTTGACTTGCCTTATCTATCTCATAGGTAGATGTGGCATCTTCTCTGGAAGTACTCTTCCTCCATCCAGGGGTGGTATCTTTAACTGGTGGAGATGCACAAGGTAATGTATCAATTTCACTTGAAGCTTACTTGTAGTTTCAGGCTTGGTCAAGCGCGATACAAACCATGTAGTAGGAGTCCCCCAAGTCGCCGAGCTAGGGGGTCTGCTGAAAGAGGTGACAGACAAGGTAAGCAATCAGAGCTCCGACTGATTGTTCACCTTCTCCCCATCTTGCAGCAGCATGAAGGATAAAGAGAAGAAAAAATGAGAAAGAGATGATATGAGATACTTTTGCTTTTGAAGAAGTAACTTTCCACATGCTTATTCTTGAACTGAGCTGGAGGGTTTTCTGGTTTCCTCCAGAGTATAAGGCCGAACTGAAGAATTTGAGGGTCAAAACAAGTCCATCAAATCTAGAGTACGTTCCGACCCTGCTGATATGGGATACTTTTGCTTTTGACAGAGTAATGGATGTATCAGCACGTGTTGCTGTTACGCTTGTCTCCACATGTTTCCTTGTATCCTTCGCACTTGCCCTATCTGTTCCTCAAGCAAATGCGGAATCTTCCTGGAAACATAAGATGTTGAAGATGAGTACTCGAGAGCAATGACAGGTAAGTAATCAGGTAAGGGGTTCCAGGCAGTCAGTTCCTGGCTGGAAGCTTGATTCCAAGTGCTGACTGATTGCTCTCTTTCTCCTTGTCTTGCAGGTAAAAACAAGGCCAAAAGAAAAGACAGGGAAAAAGCATGATATGGGATACTCTTGCTTTTAACCCTGATGATATGAGATATTCTTGCTCTAGTATAGCTTGTTTGCAGAGGTATTATCGGGGGGAAAGAAAGCTGAATATTTCGAAAGGCTTCGTTGGGAGTGCCCTCTTAGATATGATGAAGGGTTGAGCATTTTTGCAGGTCTGCCTGTCCGTTGGGGATGGAGGTCCTCATATATAGGAGTCTCCCTAACAACAAGTAGTAATGCTATTCCTTTACCCTGCTTGGTCATAGCACGGTAATGGGAGCTGCCAGTTTCACATGTTTTAACTCTGTCAGAGCACTTTGAAAAGGTGGTCTGTGGTATCTGGCTCTCGAGATTCGGAGAACGATGCCTCTTCGATTTTTGAGAAAGCAATCATGCTGGGGGTCTGACTCTCGAGATTCGGAGAGCAGTGTCTCTTCGATTTTTGAGGAAGTAATCATGTTGAGAGTCTGGCTCTCGAGATTCGGAGGGCAGTGCCTCTTCGATTTTGGAGCAAGCAATCTTGTTGGGAGTGTTGTCTCGAATGTGAGTAAAGGTTGGGCATGTTTGCTAGTCTACCTTGCCACGAAGCACAAAGGTTGACACACAGGGACTTTCCAATTATCCAGCAATAGTACTGTTCCTTTACCCTCTCTTCGATTTTGAAAAAGTAGTCATGTTGGGAGTCTGGCTCTCGAGATTCGGAGGACGGTGCCTCTTCGATTTTGGAGCAAGCAATCTTGTTGGGAGTGTTTTCTCGAATGTGAGTAAAGGTTGGGCATGTTTGCTAGTCTACCTTGCCACGAAGCACAGAGGTTGAAACACAGGGACTTTCCAATTATCCAGCAGTGGTACTGTTCCTTTACCCTTGTGGGTAATAATATGGTAGCTAGACCTTCAAAATTTATGTGTCTAAACTTTTGTTAGTGCTGTTTCTTTGCTATTCTTTTACCTTTCTTGGTCAGAGCGATGTAGTGGGAGCTGCAAGCTTCACGTGCTCAACTTTGGCAGAGAACTTTGGCAAAGTTATCTGTGGTACCCATGAGCTATTGTTGCGTGTGGGAAGTGGGTGATTGAACAGTAAGATTCATGTGGGAAGTGGGTGATTGAACTATAGTGGTACTGATGGAAACATAAAATGACCTTAATTATTCTGCATTTAAATTTGATTCTGCCCATGTCCTCAAATCCATGTATGAAGCATTTCATCCAAACACCCCCCAAAAACCAATTGAAAACCAGGATTTCATTCAACAATACATGCAGATAAAATAAAACCGGGTTCTACCTTTCTACATTTTAGAGCCAGCTGCTATATCGACTCCAAAAACAAAGCTTCTTGTTTGCTGGTAAGTCCAAGTTCATTCAGCGTCAATGCACTTTCTCCTTCGCTAAAAGCACGCCTGGGGAATGGCCTCACCTGTTTACAATTAACATCTCGAGATGTTTAGGATTCATTGCATTCGTACGCAGTTTTGTTCTATTTTCTCCCTGAAAACAATTAAATCGGTATAACAATTTCCAAAGATTGACAACATGGAATCACTGAAAGTTAAATGGGTATTGAATAAATTTCCAACTTTACTCACCACTCTGTAAGAGCCAGGTTTGACCCTTCTGCTAATGTCAATAAAGTCGAAAAGAGACTGCAAACAGTCACACACTTGTTTAGCAAGGAGGATGGGCAAAGAGTTAATTCAGTTAAAGACATGTACATTCTCAACAATTACCTGCAGCTTGTCTGTCCTGAGAAATCGACGGCCGTGGCGGCTGCCATCTGGCATTCGCACCAGAAGGGTTACAGCATTCTCATCATCTGATGCTGGTTCTTGAGGGAGAGTAGCTTCTTTTGCTGCTAATTGTCTCTCCAATTCCTGCAAGGAAGGCTCATAGAGAATGAAGATATTAGCAACTCTGAAAGTAGAACTCACTGAAAAAATGAGTTGTCCAATTATGTCTCAGCGTCACTGTCAGTACACACGAACATACGCAGTGAATGCAAATTTTTCACATTAAAGTACTAATTGCCCACCACATTTGGGAATTGTAATACCGTCTGAGCAGAAAGTGTCACTCATACCAAAAAAATCTCCGACACTAAATCCATGGATGAAAACCAGAATTTCCAAAATGCTTAAATTCGTAGTCTTCTTTTACATAAAAGTAAACTAATTATTGTCCATTAAGTTCTTGATTCAGTCTCCATAATAAACTTTAGTTCCTAACTCCGCCTGGCTTAAAAATACAGGATACTATATAATTCATTGGAGTAGAAACTACTAGTCATTTTCCATCTCAAATGTCAAAAAGTTTGTAATTTTATTGGCAAAACGACACCTACAACTATTTATAGAGAAGTGGCTCCATTCATTCCCATCCTAAATTTAAAAAAAAAAAACTCATTCATTTTAAAATTCCCACTTCTTATCTTTTTCAATTTAAAAATGAAGAATGAAAATAACAAAAAGTAAGGGCGGTGAACTTTTCAAATTTTGAGAAAAATTGAAAATAAAAGAAAAATAGGATACGAAAAAATGTTCAAGATGGGATGCGCATATGGAGTAGAGCCACTTTTTAGAAAACTCACTAAAGGTCGTACCCAGTGCACAAGGCTCCCGCTTTACGCAGGGTCTGGGAGAGGTGAATGTCGGCTAGCCTTACCCCCATTTATGAAGAGGCTGCTCCCAAGTCTTAAACCCGAGACCTACCGCTCTCGGGTTCGAGACTTAAATGAATAGAGAAAAAGGTCCTGTTTAGAGCTGAGTTGATTAATCATACAACATACTGCTAATTAGAATAATTTAAAAGGAAAAAAGCCAATGAACGATCCTTGCAAGAGTGATATATGTAGAGAAAAAGACAGAGTGACATAACCAACATCAAATAATCTAAAACTAATAAAAGCATGTGTGCATATGTAGATATAGTACCTGCTCCTCCTCGATTTTCCTCCTCAATTCTTCCTCTTTTAGTCTGTCTTCTTCACGAAGAGCTTCAGCTTCCACAATAGCCTTCAATTCTTTTTCTCTGTCAGCTTGAAGTGATGCAAGATATTCATCGTCCTGCACGTATCAAGTTAGTACAACCAGTCACACCACTTTTGGTGGCCAACCATTATTTCCAGTATTTAAACCTGTTGTTCACGTATCAACCGCTGCGCTGTAAGAGAGGGTGAAGGAGGACGAGGTGATGGCCAGACATATGAACCGTCAGGCCGCATAGCATAGGGAAGGCGATATCCAGTCCCTTCAGGAATTCCACCAAACATTGCAGCCTCAAGCATCACTGCTTCGTCATGCTCCTCTGAAGAAATGCCTCCCCACTTCAATTATAAAAACAAGGTCCAGTTTTACTTGGTGTAAACATTTATCAACATGATCAATTAACAACAATTTCAAACACTCACCAGAAGTTATAATATCATAAAGAAGAAGATACCTCAGAAGGGAAGACGCTGTCACTGTGCCTAGGATGACTACCCATATCCTGCTCTCCAGGACTTGAAGGTGCATTATCCTCATCAGCTCCAACTTCTTTTGCAGTCTCCACATAGTCAGAAGACATGCGCATGGACCTATGTCTGACAAGAGGCTGCTCCTCCACATCTTCAGTTTCTTCTTGGATGGATGAGCTTTCTGCCTCCAACCTAATACACTTAAACCACCCTCATCAGATATAATGTTATAACACTTCAATAGCAAATAGCAACACAAGAAATATACCTTCCATTTGATGCTGCTAACTTTCCCAGCTCCACCTCAGCTTCCTTAGAAGGTACAGTTTCTGATGGGCCAACATTTTCCCCCTGGCCACGCAATGTTTTCTCTTGTTCTGCTGTCTGCACGCGGTTCATGTTAAACGACATAATATGGATACCAATAAGGAAAATAAAACAAAAATGGAAAGCAAACCTTCAGTGACAATGAAACTGCATGTGCAAGTTCAGGATCCTCTAGCTGAGGCGGCCTTTGCTGAGGCCGATTATCATCAAACTGCGGCATCAAGAAGAGAAGCAATACAAAGACAATCACTTATTATATAAACCATGAACACAAGGTCCAACCCAACAGCTGTAGGCTATTGCACATACACTTGAAGCACCAAACTGTTGATTTGGTTGGTTTTCTTCAACTTCGCGTTTTGAAGCCTCAATTGCAGCTTCAATCATTTCTTCTTCAATATCATTGCTATAATCCTGCGCATCATCAAATCGGGGAGCACTAAGTCCAAAATTTGGGTGATGAGATCCATCACCTGAAGACATATCTTGCGGTCCACTCCTTTGCCCAGCCTGAACAGTTGGGGCAGCTGGAATATCATCATCATCTTCCTCATCAATTATAACAGTCCCAGGGATACCTGGGCCATATCCCTGCTCTGTTCCAGTGACATCATCAATGATAGGATCACGGCCAGAATGGCCAGATGGTTGATCGCCATCTTTGACTTCAATGGGGATCTCCCTCACCTCTCTTGGACGAGTAACAAATGGAGTACTGTTTGTAAAATCTGTACTACTATCAAATATGGTTCTACCAAAGTGTGGATTAAGACTAGAAAATGGATTCATATCAACGGTTGCAGATAGAAGTGATAGAGGATCTCTCCAAGGTCCAACTGGAACTGGATCATCGATATCCATAAAATCATCTTGAGCTGAAACAGGTGTATCATGCACACTGGACATGAAAAGGCATAAATGTTAGAGCTGGGGGCAACGTCCAATAGTTGATGATATGTCATACTAAATATTTAATAATGAGCAACTGCAAATGAAAGCATACTTCACCGATGTGCTTCTATCTCCTTCAGTAAAGTACGCATTCACAGCTGCATTGAGATCGCCACCATGCTCCTAATTGCACGCAAATACAACAGAAGATCTATAAGAAATAATAAATAGGTCAACATGCTAAAGAAATTATATTTTTATTCATTTTCGACTTAGTTGTCTAATAAGTCAAACAGGAAAGAGCTTCCTCAAAAATCCAAGAGACTAACACATAAACCTAGTCAAATATAAGTTAAATAGTTTGCTTGTAATAGTAATTGGGTAAGAAACAACCATAGTTCATATGAAGGTTGTATAACTTGTATTAGATGGAGCTGAAGTAAGTTGTCTTTCTCACTACAAAGTATTGAGGCATCCAACTCCAAGAAAAAAACAGTTGCAGCATAGATACAACCAGATACATTCAGCATCTATAGTCACGGTACCAACTTATCAATGGCTGTAATCAGATACAGTTGAACCGACTATTCAACACCCAAAAAGTTGTGCAGGTACCAGTACATTCACAAACCCTCTAACTTCAAATAATCCAACGTCTAACCAACCGTTCACTACCTCTAATACCCATATTTCTAGCATTTAACTGATCAAAGAGAAAACTAAAAGCATAACCCTTTAACCGTACAATGGTAATCTCACTATGCTAAAACAACCATCTATCCTCTACCCGCTGTCCATTCACAACCCTAACAAAAATCTTCAATTTTTTTTCGTGATCAATCGAGTAGCGCAAGTAACTCCGTTTCTACTTCAGATTTCCATAATCAAGAGCCCACCATTTAACTATAATTTTTCAATAACTTTAGCAAAGAGTAGTTCGCTGATGAATAATACAATCAAATAGCAATCCAATTAATACACACTTTATCTCAACGAACTATAGTCCACATCCAAATTTCAAATATTCTAAATAAACATCAATCCAAATACTCTCCAACTCAAAACTCCCAATTAAAATTCACAACCCAATGCAACAAAAACCCTAATAGCAACATTACCCTAGAAATCGAGAATTAATTCCGCGATTCGGATTCAAAACTCAGAATTGAATTGGGAGTTGAAGAGTTACCTCGAGCTTTTGCACGGCGATGGTTTCGGAAGCGCCCGTGATGTTGATGAAGGTCTCGATTGCTTCCTGATTAGGCCTCGCCATGGAAGAACTTCAAGTAATTTTTGGAGCTCCGATTCTCAGTGTTTGCTGGTTTTTAGGATTTCTGAATTTTGTTCCGGAGTGTTTTCTGAATTTTGTGGAAATTATGGGCTGTATTCTGTGTTTATGTGTATACACGTACATATTGGGGGCTAAGGCCATGTTTGGACTACAGTTTGTTTGGGATTAAAAAAAAAACTCTCGAATTAACGATATTATCTACAATAAGGGAAGGATGTGAGCTTAACCCCACAATAGGCTAATACTAATGTGGTTTAAATTCGTCCTTGGCAAAAATCACACCTAATACCTTTCACTTACAAGTAAAGAAGAATACCACTAGACCGTAGTACAGTGACAAAAACTTTAGTATTGAGATTCAGTAATATTTCGCTTTATTTGTAAATTAAGGATACTAAGTTCAACCTTGTGAGAAACAATGGTTACGAAAAAATTATAAATAATGGGGTTAAATTAATTAAATTCTTGTTGAGCCTTCGGGTTCCATTTCGGTTGTAGATGTAACCAAACCACCATCAAGAATATGGAAGAAAGAAACAATAGAAATCGACTATTAAAGTTGATTTAAGTAGAATGATTCGTCTTAATTATTCTAACTTGTTCAGTGTGTGACTTAGTCCGGTTTCTAGCATATGTCATTGTATTTAAACTAAAAAAAAAATAGCAAAATCAAAAAGTTTAAATGGTGAAAGTGTTTTTCGCACAAGCGCAAAAAGCATCGGAGACACATCGCACAAGCGTACCCTGGATAACTTGTTGACACTTGACACATCGTACAAGCACACCCCGGATAACTTGTTGACACTTGACACATCGTACAAGCACACCCGGATAACTTGTTGTCTAAGAAGGCTATAAAGGACACATCAACTTGGGTTTAATAGTAAATTTGCATACTAGGCATGAGGCTCCTTTCTTTTGGAAAAGAAAAAAGATAATGAGAAGAAAATTTGAAATCTCAAAAGCTCGTAATCAGTGGGTCAGAAATTTTGAGTCAAACTCGTACGGTACGTCAAAAAATTTTAGCTCAATGATTCTTATAGAACATGGCTCTTACGGCTATTTGTGAAAGGCTTAGCTTTGGTTGAGTTATATTGCAAGTGAAGTTGGCTAGAGAAGTGTATTTTACTCTTAACACTAGGTTTAAAGCCTTATTATCGTAATTTACATATATTTAATATAATTATCACATCATTTGTCAAACAAACAGATAAAAACACTACATCCAATTGTACTAAAACTCTATTTATTTGAGAAGATTTGGTGTTCATATATCATGTAAACATACTATAATTTATGGGGTGTGCTATCCACACACCCCATTTTACTTTTCACACACCCCTTGATAATTTATGTCCGTTGATCTTCTTCAATTCATTTGATCTGACGGCCTAAAATTAAAAAAGTGTGTGAGAAGTAAAATAGGATGTATGGATATCACATCCCTAATTTATACTTGTCTCATCAAGTATTGTACATTCACGTGAATTAATAATTTTATTTTAATAAATATAAATTATATAAAAAAAAGGTACACATAGATATATTCTCGATACTACTTTGAATTTCTTAATCTGTTTGTTGTGTTTCTAAAATTTTATTTTCGAATGATTGAGATTCCAAACTTTGTTTATGTTGTTCATACCATGGCAAAAACAAAACAGAGTTAAAGGAGAATGATGGTTCTTTGGTTTGGTACAGAACATTGCAAGTTGTGTTTTAAATTTTTGGTAGCCAATATGTAAGTTGTCGACCAGGACCCGAGATTTGCACTTTGACGATGAGGGCATCATCGTGAGGCGAGTGAACATCTTCTAGATTCGATCGCAGAACATGGGGATGTTGGAATCTATGGTTAGTGGTTTGTTGATGGAGGCCACTATTCTTGGTTTCTTCCAAGCCGTTGTTCTTTATTTTCAGGTGTTCCCCAAATATTCTTGCCCACCATATATGCATTTCACTTCAGATAATGCTTCTTTTCCTATGCATGGGACATGGTAGAGACCCTGAAGCCTTCTGGACTTCCTACAATGCTCCTCAAGAGTAGGGCGCTAAGGTAGTTCTTCGGAAGTCAAATCTATTACTTCTGTCCTTTAGGTTGCTAATTCTTTGAAGCAAGGAACAGCTACTTTTAGGTCCTTGATGCGCGTTTTCATGTTGGTGAGTCTTGCAGATTCTATGACTAGTGCGCTTCGCCAGATGCTTTCTAGGGATGGACAAATTTCCATGTTGTCTTCCCACATGTAATCCATGACGGTGGTCCCGTCATATCCTTGGTTTACGTCGCCTTGGAGGGTAACTAGGCCATTGTTGTTAACAGAGTTTTCAGACATGTCAATTGGTAGAATAATTTGGCCAAGAGGAATAAGAGTTAAACACTTAATGAAAGCATCAATTGTTGGAACCAAATTCGTGCACTATCGTGTGTGGAGGAAGAGCTCGAACTCGGCTACCTACAAAACAGTAAACAACTGTGAGCAAGCTTAGGACGTAGGGGTGTGCCAGCCAAAGGTCTCTGACAGTCAAGTTAGTGAATAGTTTTAGACTCAAGCAGTGGATAAGAAAGTTTAAATGTTTAGATTGCGTTACCAGAGATAAACCCTAAATGAGTGTACTTATAATGTTGTTGACCCTAAAAACTACATAGCCTACATGGTGCGCAGGCCGAGTAATCAATAAGTTAACTACATCATTCGGTTATGTACAGGTGCCAACTCGACGGCCGAGCTCAGCTGGTGAGTAAAATATGTGGATGAGGCGTCAAGCGCGCTGCTGACTTCTTAATCTTATGATTGCGGCTGAGGAAGGAACACGTCTCGGCCTTCGAGTTCTAGAGCCTAAAGACAAGGCTGCTAGTCTTGCGAAGTTCACAAATCATTGGCGTCGGGTTCCGTCATAGTGATTATATTCGTAAGCATATAAGCACACCAAACCGGCACCAAACTATACGAACACAAGTACTCGAAATAGCTGTATGTCTTGATGGTGAATGTGGTTCGACCGTCAGAATGCCGAACTTTAAAACTAACTCATGAATATCCAATCATAAACCAACTCAACGTTCAATGTGCCGAGCCCAGTAATCTGTAACACCTCACTTCGCCGAGAAAGCTAATGAGATGACCTCTGTCAACAAGGACTCGAAAATCCTTCTTGATCGAGACTTAGATAGGTAACCAATCAGCCTCGACGCAATGCTGTTTATTTGAAGGTGCTCCGCGGTCGGCTAATTCTAGGGCAACAATGCTATTTATCCAAACTGAAGATGTCACCAGTTGCCGTCACAGTGTTGTTTATCCAAACTGAAGATGTGTTGGCGGAAAAAGAAAATAAATAAAAAAATCTCAAGGTTGTTGAGAGGTTTTGCGTAGAGCGAAAATTTGCGCAAGGCAGTTTATGTGTTAAATTGGAGGGGGCTTTCAATGTTGTCCGCGACTTTGTCCTTATAAGAATGAACTGCCTCACCCTCAAGTTGTAGCCACAACACACGATTCTTGGAATATTACTCCAGGTAGAATAATCGTCACTTAATCTTGCTGATTATCATATCCGCACAATTGTGTTAGGATAATTATCCCTTCATCACTCATCGCCCAACTGAAAATCATCATATGCATCATGATAGAATCCTAAATTGCATGGAACCATGGATAATCATTATCATCACCTCCACACGCTATTAGCCAAAGATAGAATCCTAATATAACCCATCTTTATTTGTCGTATGCAAAATTAAAGCCGCCACCTAATCATCCATTGCTAGTGAAAATCCACGTGCATAGCAAGTTTGTTGGTCTTTGACTAATCCCAAAAGCCATTCTGACCACATCACCATTTCAATTTCATCTTTATCGCATACATGCATATCTGGCAACCAGGCCAAACTGATTTAAACCACACGTCCACACGCCAAACATCACAAATCAATTTGAACTATTGTGCTTGTTTCCTCCCCATTTATTTTGCATAAGAAAATATTAAGATAATTCATTATTAAAATTATCTTCACTTTCCATCTGACGATGTGAAGCTATACTCACTCAACGACCTTGACTGTACGGGCCGATGGTGTAAATTTGGGTCCAAACAACTATGGAGATAGACCTTTTTACAATATAATCCTTATTCTAACCCAAAAAATCCTAGAAGGTATCTAGAAGTAAATATTGCATCCTCTTAGGACTTATGATTACTTGTGGCGCACACCAATTTCTAGATTGTAAGAACTCCAAGACTTAAAGGATCTAATTGTGTCCATATCCGGATCAAATCGTGTGTCTTGTGGAACAAGTATGGTTATCTAACGGAGTCGCTAGGACTCCACCTATTGAAGACAGATGTCTCTTGATCATTGGTTATTGTGTAACCAATGCCACATCACCCTAAGTTGTTAGAATGTTTGTTAGGTGGTTAAATGAGTTATTAGTTGGTTAATTAGTTACTTTGTGGTTATTGTTCATTATATAATGTAATTCAACTTACAAATGTAATCAGTTGTCATTTTCCCTCAAATATACATAAGTTTCATTTCTCTCTCTAGTTCTTCAATCTTTCTCAATTCTTTAATGTTCTTTGATTCTTTCTCAATGTCGTTAACATGGTATCAGAGCCACTAGGCTCACGCCATGGATTCTGGTGATTCTGTTTTCATTAGATTTCATCATCTTGTAGGTTTATTTCTCTTCCTTTAAGTTCTTTAGTGTTTCTGCAATCGTTCTCAATTTTTTTTCTCTTCATCATTTTGTAATTTCTAGGTTATTTTTCCTTCTAGATTGTGCGCAGAGATTGTTGGAGATAATGGGTTTTTAAAATTGTGGTGTAATCTGAATACAGTTGGCTAGTGAGTTTGCCTATCACCTATTCGATCTTATGCATCAATGAAATTTAGTGTTAGAACTTAGCGATCTTGCATGCCATGTGTTCGAGATTAACTATTTGATGGATTGCTCAAGTCAGAGATTTAAGAAACGTTCTATTTTTAATCATCTGTGATATATTTGGAGTCTTTGTATGATTCGTTTATGAATTCTTGGTTCAATTGATCTATGACCCATGTTGAAGAAATTCAAGAGATGTCAAATTATGTGAATGAAAAGCTCATA